CGTCCGCCCCACAGCAGCGTCAGGCCCCGCTGGAAGTGCTGGCACCACCCTACGAGTGACAAACGCCATCCGTAAATTAATAATTCATCCATCCACAAATTATTAACAATGCTTTAGCCACCGGCACGCATTAGAGCACAAAACCTTCTCCCTTCTCTGTCCCACCTGCTTTTCTTGGCATTACGTCTTCTGTATCCGAGACAGACATCTCCTGGCTGTCCCCCCACACCCCCAAATCTTCACTTACCTTCAATCCTTGTTTTATACGGATGCACCAATGGCCCCAGCCTCCTGCCAGCAGCACCGAAGCCCGAGGCCGGCAGCCAGTCACGGGAAAAGGCCGGTCCAGGGACGCAGCCCTCTCCTGCATCCCCCCCTCCGCACCCCGCCTTCGCCCCAGGGACCCGCGCTCCGCAGGGCAGCCAGGGCAGGGGTGACGTTCACCCCCTCCCCGCACCCACGCACCTCGTGCCCAGTGCCACAACAAGCGTCAGCCCGGGATCTCCATCAGGCAAGCAATTAAACCGCGTGGAGTTCATCTGTACTTTAAAATAAGCTTTATTTAGATCTTTTATAGTTTTATATTTGCATCCATGCCTTCAAGGATTCTCCCCCACTCACGGGGGGAAAAGTTAAATCTAATGTTACCCATAATTCATATGCTATTTATCGAAGTTCTCTTTTAAATAAATCATCCTCTTAGTAATTTTTAGAATTATTTCCTAATTTACAAAAAAGCTGAAATGCAAAGGAAACTACTCGATAACAAGGAGATTGCTCGTCTGCTCCGGTGGTTTATCGTTTAAATTAGAAAAACGCAAGGAGACCAAGAACAAATAAAAATACCCCCCCAAAACAACAGAAAGTATAAAAAGGCTTCTCTGCAGGGAAAGATGCCGCGGGGCAAACCCTGCCCTGCCAGCCCCCGCTTCATCCCGGTCGCAGGAATACACAGCGCGAGGGCATCGGCTGTTTAGTTCGGTCATTTAAGACAAAAGACCCCCTTTTTCAGCCAGGGCGCGCGTATCGGAATTAAGAAAAATAATACACTATTATAGCATCATTAAATAAATCTTAATACATTTTTAAGAGCTTAAAATTATATCGTAAGCATTAAAGCATAAGGTACTTATCTTGGCGTAAGCAGAGCGCGGTGCTTGTTAGTGGAGAGGGGACGCGGCCGCTGCGCCGGGGACTGGTTTTGGGCCATTTCCAGGGGATTTGGCAGCACAAGCTCCACCTGCGCTTCAAAATCACCCCCGAGCCAGAAAACCCTCCCCGGCGGGGACTCGTACCGATTTCCCCGGCCCCGGCCGGGCGACGTCTCGGGATACGGGGATATCTCGCGATATCGCCTTTCCCCTCCTCCCAGCTCACGCCGGATCCCCCAAATTTTACTCACAGCAAATGGCGAGCCCCCTAAATGCGGGGAAAAAACAGCGGGCAAAGCTCCCACCGGCTTCCCCCCAGCTCTTCTTTCCCGGCAGGTATCGGGTTCACGTTTCCCAAGGCGTTAAGTGCTCCGGGAGCATCTGCGGCCGCGGGGCCGAGGGAGCCCGGGGCGGGGGTCCGGGGCTCCAGCCCCCCCGGCCCCCTTCCTCCTCCCCACCCCATCCCAACCGACGTGGAAAAATATAAAAATCCCAAAACTTCTGCAATAATTTAGTTAGAATAGCTCCTCTCTGGGTTTGTGCAAATAAATTAAAACAACTAAAAAAGGAACGTGAAAACACTTCTTTCCAGAAAGGCAGGCGTTACAACCAGCCCGTGTCGCCTCCGCGGGGTTCGGCCAGGAAGACATCACAACAAAGGAGATATTTTTGTGTGTGTGTGTGTGTGTGTGTGTGTGTTTTCCTCTCTCAGGTCCCTCAGCTGGGCAGGTCCTTCGTCCCCGAGCGAGGACGTCCCACGGGCTGGGCTCCGGAAAACAGCGGGTTTCGGACAAGAGACGTCACAAGCACAAAGTGCACGATATTTCTGGTATTTACAGAGACACAGCAGTCCTTCAAGTTTCAAGTTTCGTCAAAAAGAAGGAGGAAAAAAAAACAAAAAAAAAAAACACCCCCAGAAAACAACCAACTAAAAAACCCAACCCAAACTGACAAACTGAAGCGACAACAAAGGAGATACTGCTTTGGAAAAAATCAAAAAATAACACCAAAAAAACAAAAAAAAAGGGAAGAAACTGGAGTTACGACACAGCGGCATCGCTCCCAAGACGACAGGTAACACGTCCACAGGCGGGGCTGGGGTGGGGGTATGTACAGCGGCGACGGCGAGGCCGGGGAGAGGGTCCCGGCGCTCGCCCGGCGCGGGGGGGTCACCAGTCCGCATCCTCCTCGATGTAGTAGTCGGGGGCCGTACCGTCGAAGAGGCCGGGGTCGAGGGACTTGCGCTGCTTCCCCCGGGCGAACACCCTGGAGATGGAGCCGAAGCCCATCTTCTCTTTCTTCTTTTTCCGTTTTTGGTCTTCCAGGTCCTCTAGAGACTGCGGGGGGAGAGGACATGGCTTTGGCCACCGAGCGTTGCCTTCACCTCCCACCCACTCGCAGCATGGGGTCCACGGCCCCCTAAATATTCCGGTCCAGCTCCAAAGGTTCTGGACCCCCCAAAACCCATTCCTGAAACACGTTGGGTGGAATTGGCAGTAACGTCGGGCCCCCTCCCCTCACTTCTGGGATTTTGGCTTCTTGGTGCAACTGGCTCCAGATTTCAGCTCCGAGAACTTCAGGCCAGAGCAAGGGTCTGTCCTCGGCTTGCCAAAACACCCCAAAGTTTTAGGGTCAAACACCAAAGAATCATCCGATCTCGGGTCACTGAACAGCCTGATCTTTGCCTTACAAAAATCACGACCCTGCTGGGCCCCGAGCACAGCCACCACCCACGGCATTCCCTGCCTTTTGGGGCAACTCACGCCACTCACACAGCCCAGGCTTAGATTTCAGGCTGACTGTCGCTCTTTTTTTCCTTCCTAAATCCCAAATCGGTGCCTCTGAGCCCTCCCCCAGAGCACTTGCTAGCCCAGGACCGGGTCTCACGAGCGGGATTTGAACAGGGCTTCCCGTCCTACCTGTACGATCGGGTTGTGCAAGTTCTTCTGTACCGGTCCCGGACTGTCCCCCTGCGGCAGAAGCAGACGGATGCAGCTGAATCAGCCCTGACACACACCTCCAACCCCTCCCCCACCCCAAAACCGACACCGTTTTGGGAGGGCGAAGGGCCTGCTGCGTCCCCCCAGCAAGACCCGCAGAGCAGGGAAGCAACCACCCCACCACGCAGCGCCTTACGTTGCAGAGCGAGTGCGTTCGATGCCGCGGCGAGTTGATGTCGCTCGGCGTGGACGACCGGTCGCCCTCGGCCGCGGAGGCGTCGGAGATGATGGACGGCTGCCGGGAATGACAGGGACTCACTCTGACCGCTGGAAAGCAGAGGGGACACCGGGGAGTCAACATCACGCCAGCAAACCCGACCCCACGCACAGCCCCCAATGCACTTCCAAAAAACCAATTCCGGGGGTGTTTTGCCCATTTTTTCCCTTTGCACCGTGGAGGAATAAGGCAGCTCCCCAAAAGGGGATTGGCCTCGCACCCCGCTCCGTGCCACGGGGCTCACCTTGCCGGTCGGCCGAGTGCTGGGGGTGCGAGTGGTAGAGGGTCTGCTGGCTCTGCCGGATGGCGGCCGTCAGCGGGAGGTCGGCCTGCATCACCCACTCCTGGTTGCCGTTCAGCACCGTCTCGCCCGGCATGGCCAAGGAATGGCGCTTGGGGACGTCCTTGGTCAGCGTGGCGAGGGACTGCTTGGCCTGGGGAAGGACACCAAGGCGGTGGTGGTGGGGAAAAACCATAGGAACATCTCCTGGAGCAGGAGAACCCGCAGTAAGCCCCTGCACCAAACCCACCCTCCCCTGGGCAAGTAAACACCCAAATCGCATTGCTCCCTGCACCGAGGACGTAGAATCAGAGAACGCTTTGGGTTGGAAGGGACCTCAAAGCTCATCTGGTACCAACCCCCCTGCCATGAGCAGGGACATCTTCTACCAGATCAGGTTGCTCAGAGCTCCATCCAACCTGGCCTGGAACGTTCCCAGCTCCTCGTTAGCAACGGGCCTTTTCTCGACCACTCCTGCAACGCCAGCGGCAAACGCACGCGTGCAACATCGCAATGAATGCTTCAGCTCGGCGCAACTCGCCGAGGCGTTTTGTGCGCCCGAGCTCCCGCAGCAGCGGCGCGGGGCTCGCGCCCGCCCCGTCACCGACCTCCCCATGGCCAACACCGCCCCC